CACACTGCCGCTGGTGAGATTCGATCCCTTGTAATTATTATTCCAAAGTTTCACCTCTATGACCAGTTGAGCTACCCATGCGGGCTACATCAGCACATCCTTGACCTTGCATATTGCATATGACATGTAGTGATCTCTTTCATGTGGGAGGTCATGAGATCGAACCTCAGTGGAGACGTTGTTGACTCTCTATACTTTATTAGGTTGAGAAAGTAGCATTCACATATTGCATATCTTGCCCATCCACACTTACACTTTCCTTGCACATAACAAATGTAATTGTAGACTGGTAATTACTAAGGACAAGATAAGGTCTATAGCGTTGAATTCTTGATCAAATTTGCCTTACCTGTCCCATGCCTTTTATGATTTCGTCTGTGTAACATTCCGGTTCTGAATCTTGGAGTGACAGGAGAACATCAATCATCGTCTTGTTTCTCCGATCACCGGAAGAACATCGTCTCCTTGTTTGCTTATGCTCTTCGATCAATTCTTGCATAAAGCGGTCTCTTTTCTCCATCAACACCCTCAGCTTGTCTTCAATCCTGTTTAGCTTAAACCACTTAACAATCGGCACAAAGTCGCCGATATTTGTAGCTCCGCTTACCTGAAAAGTCTTGGCCACGATTGCTTGAAAAATGGTTTAAAAAATCAAGAACACAAAATGAAAAAAGAATAAGAGTTATGTATTAATTTCGAACTATACTCCGCGGATCTTATATGACATTAACTCTAGACAAATATATTAGAACTTTATAAAATATTTTAGTATTGTTTCCATAATTTTAATAGATTTAAAAATACATTTATTGAAATTAAACTAATAATTCATTAGTATTTATGCATTTTTTTTAAAAAAAATTATAAATACATAAATATTTGTGCATGCTAGATATTTTGTATTTTTCTATTTTCGTGCCCCTTTGACCCATGGACAAGTTCAGGTTTAGCACTTTTTTAGAAGGTTGGTTATATTTTAATAATTTTTAAATTAATATATATATATATATATATATATAATAATAATAATAATAATAATAATAATAATAATAAACGACAGTCACTCTACCCTCCTCCCATCTCCGTGGGAGACGAAAGAAGAGGGGGGCAGGGTGTTTTTTTATAATTATTTTTAAAATTTTTTTTTAATTTAAAAAAAAAAAAAAAAAATTAGTCGGTCACCGGTAACTGGGCCGTAAAATTTAACGACAAGATTAAATGTGACACAAATTAAATAGTCATGCACCTAATTTGAAAATGTTAATAGTTAAAAATCAAATTTGATACAAATTGAATAATCATGCACCTAATTTAAAAATTTTAATAATCAATGACTAAAATTGAATGCATGTATTATATAGTCGAGGAACTATAAATGTTATTTTCTCTAACAACTATTAGTCAAAGTGGCAAAAAAAAATTAAAAATAGAATTAATTATATTAATGGTTCATTGACTATTGTTATTTATCAATTTTTATCATTCAATTTTAACTTAGAACATAAATGGTCATTTGACTATTGATATTTACCCATTTTCGTCATCGACTTTCAATCTAATCATAAGTGGTCATTTAATTATTGATTTTTTTTTAAATTTGGTCATCTATTTAAATATCATTTTAATAAAACTTTAGTTCTTCACAATGATGAACTCAATGTATTAAGTTTATGAACTCAAATTGTTCATCTCAACAAAAAGCTAATTTTTATATTATTATTCTTAAATTTAATGTTTATTAAATATATATTTAACTGTATGACCAAATTTAAAACAAATCCAATAGTCAATCGGTCATTTATAGTCATATAGAAAGTCGAAGACGAAAATTGATAAAAATCATAGTCAAGAGACCATTTATGATATAATTAAAAGTCAAAAAAAAATCTAATATTATGAATGTTAATAGTCAATTAACCATTAATGGAATTCACTATTTAAACTACTATATTTTTATTTAAACATTATAAATTATAATTTGTTGTTGTTGGTGTCAATAATAGTTATCTATCGTAAAATAATGTTTAATAAAAGTAATTATATTCATTATTAAATTAATCCATAATAAAAAAAGACCACGTGTTCACTTTTACTAACACTTTTTCGATCGAGCCCATCACACCAAGTATTCATCTTGCGATTTACAGAATTACATAGTATACATCGTTATAGTATTCCCGGTCCCTTCTATGCAAAAAATAATAATAATAATAATAATAATAATAAAATAAAATCATGTAATGGTTGTAGTTTTCTTGTCATATAAAAATGTCTAGTGGTACAAAGTGATTCTTCTAAATGAAACTTCATGGGTTCAAGCCCCAATGAGGCGATATTGAGTTTAGTGGATTGACAAAGTAGTTTTGAACGGATAATACATTGTAACAAAGTCAAAAGTACTAAAAAGAGTATTAATTATTCAATTATAATAATTCAACTAAATATTGATATGTTAGTTACACATTGCTTTTAAATTAAATAAAATTACTTATATGATTTATTCTCTCGTGTATTTTTTGTTACTATTAGTTTTTTTCATAAAAATTTAATTGATGAAATATTGATGGGGTGTTTGAAAAATAAATTATAAGTCAAAGTCAATATAAACACAAATATTTAAAATATTACTGTATTTTTATTTAAACATTATACATTATAAATTTGGTTTGTTACTGCCAATAGTAGCTATTTATTGTAAAAGATTCTTTAATAAAAACTAATTATGTTTATGTTAAATTAATATATAATAATAATAAAATATTTTATTGATTGAGCCAATCACACTAAGTATTCTTTTTGCGATTTATAAAATTTACATTGTATACACCATCATGTAGTCGTTGCTTTTTTTTTTTTTGTCACCTAAAAAATATTAATGATTCAATCATAATAATTCTATTAAATTATGATATGATACTGAGAATTACATATTACTTACTGCATTTATGATTTATTATTTTATCCAAATTTTTTTTTCTTTATGTTTTCCATGTAATATTTATGAGGTGTTTGAAAAATAGATTATAAACCAAAGTGAATAATAGGGAAAATGGCACTTTTTACCCCTGAGTTATATACTTATAGCACTTTTTCCCCCTCAATTATTTAGGTAAGCACATTAGCCCTCTTAATTATTCTAAAAGTGGTGCTTTTTCCCCCTGATATATTAAATTGACATTTATACCCTTAAAGTAAACATTTTATTTATTTTACTACAACAAATTATTGCGTATACGTAGGGATGACCACGGTTCGATTTGAATTGAACGGATACTAAAGCAATCGAATTAATAGTTTACGGTTATAATTCAGATCTAGAACCCAATATTTAAATGTCAATTTATTAAAATTATGTATCAAAAAAATTGAATCTTGAACCGTGAACCGGCGGTTCCGGATCTGATTCGCGATTTTGAACCGTCTTTATTTTAAAATTTTATTTTTTATTTTAAAATAGTCTAAATTCAACAATAAATGTATTTTATTTTTTCAGTTCGGAACATGAACCGTCCGTTCCGGTTCACAGTTTTAATAAACTCTAAATATCGAATTTCGATTCTAATTTGTAATTGGAATATTTCGGTTTGGTTGCTATAGTGTTTGTTTAGTTTGAACCAAATTATGGTCATAATTTGTTGGAGAAAAAAATAAATTAAATATTTAGTTTAAGGGTAAATATGTCCATTTAACATTTCAGGGGGGAAAACAGCCACTTCAATAATTTAGGGGAAAAAAATGCTATAGGTATATAACTCAGGGGAAAAAAATGTCATTTTCCCTGAATAATATAACACAAATATTTATGCTTTCAAAAAAAACACAAATATTTAAAATTTATAATCTAAATAACTTTAAGAGTCAGTTGAGAAGAATGTGGATGCTCTAAGTCGGTGGAGCTTGCCCAACGCGCTTTTTTTTTTTTTGGAAACTGCCCAACGTACACTTACTGACTTCTTTATATAGATATCTCTGCCAGTTCTTCATCCTCAAGGCTTTTTCAGTGATCAAGAAGCAACATAAGTATAGCCGTTATAGCGAAAGAGGTTTCGGAACGTTGTAAGTATTCAACAAAAACTTGCTAGTGTTACTTTGAATCTTTGTATTTTCTTTGAATACTTGTTAGATTTGGCAGATAAAGTTTAATCACTGTGTAGTTCTTTGCTCCCTTTCTGTATTCCTGGATTTCCCCACATTTTTGGGTTCTTTTTCCTTTATTATTTAAAAAATGATTTTTAGTGTGTTTAAGTATTCTTTATAGTTTTTAAAATGTTTTTTTCGCTGTTCTTGTTAGTCTTTAAAATGATTTTCAGCATTTGGAAGTGTTATTTTTAATTTTTAAAATAGTTTTCAGAGTTATTTTTTTTAACATTTACATTCTTGATATGTTTTTTTCCTTTATTTTTGGGTTCTTTTCCCTTTGTTATTTTTAAAATGATTTTCAGGGTTTTAAAGTATTCTTTTTAATAGTTGATGTTTTCCTTGTCAGTTCTGAACACACAAGATGATCTACAGGCGGTATGCTGGGTTATTCTTCTCGCTCTGTGTTGATATGACGGACAGGGGGTTGGCTTATTTGGAGTGCATCCACTTGTTTGTGTAGATACTGGATCACTTTTTTAGTAATGTCTGCGAGTTAGATTTGGTTTTTAACTTTCACAAGGTATGGTTTGTCAGTCTTTCTCATTGTGAATCTCTGTATTTTCTTTTATTTCTACTGTATTCACCTTGTGTATGCTGCATTGTAATTTATACTTCTGATTGATTGTTTTCCTATGAAGGTATATCTAATCTTAGATGAATTCTTACTCGCTTGGGAGCTCCAAGAAACAAGTAAGAAGGTGAGAGTAATCGCGAGAAGAAGGATTTTTCTCGCGCCTTATCCTTGTTCTAGTGAGGTGTACTTTGCAAAGATTTTGCAGAAAAAATGGATGTTTGATTTCTTCTGAAACTGCAGGCTATCATAGAGAGTTTGAATGAATTGGAGAAATTGGAGTAAAGATTGATGATCCATGATGGCCAACCTTCATCCATATTCCAAAGTATGCACCTTTTTCATTTGCTCCCCTTTGATCTTTCTGAACATTTAGGATTATGCCTGCTTCTGTTTGAGACTTTGAATCTCTAGAATTTCTTTCGATTTTACTCGTAAAGAAGATGGATTGAGTGTTCATGTCATAGGATTGAAGAAGACATTGTGATTGATAGGTCATTTCCTCCCCCTATTCATGATTTAGTTTGCTTTTGTCCTTTAGGTAGAACTCTTTTTGTTTCGGTCCAATGTCATATCTTGTCAAACATGAGACATTTGTCTCGTCAATGATTATCTTAAAACACTTACTTAATTCACAACTTATTGAAGTTATTATGTATGATACGAAGCGTCATTTGTATTGAAGGAAGCAATTTTGTTTCTGCTTTCCTGTATGAAAAATTTCTTACTGATTTTCCGATGTTATAGCATGACCTGAGGTTCGTGAATCAGCAGGGTTGGCATTCAGCACTCTCTACATGGTACCACTTGTTAGTTCTTGGTGTGTTGACATACCAGTTTTATATTTTAAATATTAGTTTGATGATGAATTGATGATGGTTCATTGTGTAGACTGCTGGAATGCAAGCAATTGATGAGATTGTTCCTACACTTCTGCATGCTCTGGAGGAAGATCAAACCTCTGATACTGCTCTAGATGGTTTAAAACAGATTTCTAGGTTGAAAACCATTTGCAAATGTGTATTTTCTTACATTTCTGCCTGGGCACCTTTTCTGATTTTTAAAATGTATTGGATGCTTCTTTCAGTGTCAGGACCAGTGCTGTGCTGCCAGCCTCATATCCTTCCCAAGCTTGTCTACCTTCCCCTTTTGTAAGTATTGTGACTATTTCTTATAGCTTTTTTTTATAGAGTAGTATTTCTTTATTATTCACAATGATCTTTGGTTTTATATCCAGCGCCTTCAATGCACATGCCCTGGGAGCTTTAGCAGAGGTTGCTGGACCTGGTCTTGATGCCCTCCTTGGTACCATCCTTCCTGCTTTACTCACTGCAATGGGCTATACTGATATGGTAGGAACCTAATTTTTATGCCATAATGCCATTTACTTGGTTTCCTCTTTCACATCATTTAAATTTGAGTCTTTGCTTAAGTTGATTTGTGTGTTTTTTTTTTCATTGCATAATTTGCATGTGTCATGCTTTCACCTTGAAAATATCGGAGGTTCAAAGTCTCGCCAAGAAAGCAGCAGAAACTGTTGTCACTGTAATCGATGAGGAAGGTATCGAATGAAATACTGTCGGAGCTTCTCAAAGGAGTTGGAGATATTCAGGCATGATTTATTGTTTTGCATAATGCTAATGTGCTTTTCTTTTCTTTGTATTCCAGTTTTTAGCTAACACTATTTAAGTTTTATTCTTCCAGGCTTCAATCAGACAAAGTTCTGCGTACTTAATTGGATATTTATTCAAAACCAGTGATCTATATCTTGTTGATGGGGCTCCAAATGTGACATCCACCCTGATTATTTTACTAAGTCATTCAGATTCAGCTACCGTGACAGTATTATTTTGATTCATTGCTTGACATTAATACAATGCACTTTAATTTACTGGTTTATCTTACCGTGCTCCTTTACAGATTGCTTGGGAAGCATTGTCTAGTGTTATAAGTTCAGTTCCTAAAGGAGTTCTTCCTTCATATATAAAGTTGGTTCGTGATGTATACAAACATGCAGGGAGGACCAATTCTAAATTTCTAATGCCTGGTTTTTGCCTCCGTAAAGCTCTTCAACCTGTGCGTGCTTCCTATTTCCCTCCAGGTATTCCTGCTTTGTTGTCCGACTGATTGCACTCTGGAGTGGTATCTTCTTCTTTCTCTTATTCTCACCATTGGTTGAATTCTTCAAATCTACTAAAGCCTTTAATGTAATGGAACTTGATTTCAGGGTATTTGCATTGGTTTAAGTGAAGTGATGGCAAGTGCTGGGAAGAGCCAGTTGCTGAGTTTCATGGACAAGCTTATCCCTACCATTCGGACAGCACTTTGTGATAGGTTTGAGATTGTTTACTTGTATTGAAGGAAGCAATTTTGTTTCTGCTTTCCTGTGTGAAAAATTTCTTACTGATTTTCTGATGTTATAGGCTTATAGCATAACCTGAGGTTTGCGAATCAGCAGGGTTGGCATTCAGCTCTCTCTACAAGGTACCACTAGTTAGTTCTTGGTGTGTGAATATTAGTTTGATGATGAATTGATGATGGTTCATTGTGTAGACTGCTGGAATGCAAGCAATTGATGAGATTGTTCCGACACTTCTGCACGCTCTTGATGACGATCAAATCTCTGATATTGCACTGGATGGTTTGAAACAGATTTTAAGGTTGAAAACCGTTTGCAAATGTGTATTTTCTTACATTTCTGCCTGGGCACCTTTTCTGATTTTTAAAATGTATTGGATGCTTCTTTCAGTGTCAGGACCAGTGCTGTGCTACCTCATATCCTTCCCAAGCTTGTGTCCACATTCCTCTTTAGTAAGTATTGTGTCTGTTTCTTATAGCATTTTGTATACTAGTATTTCTTTATTATTTCCAAGGATCTTTGGTTTTATATCCAGTGCCTTCAATGCACATGCTTTGGGAGCTTTAGCAGAGGTTGCTGGACCTGCTTTACTCACTGCAATGGGCTATACTGATATGGTAGGAACCTAATTTTATGCCCATAATGCCATTTACTTGGTTTCCTCGTTCACATCATTTAAATTCGAGTCATTGCTTAATTTCATTTGTAAATTTGAGCCGTTGCATAATTTGCATTTGTAATGCTTTTACCTTGAAAATATAGGAGGTTCAAAGTCTCGCCAAGAAAGCAGCAGAAACTGTTGTCACTGTAATTGATGAGGAAGGTATCGAGTTTTTGCTGTCGGAGGATCTTAAAGGAGTTGGAGATATTCAGGCATGATTTATTGTTTTACATAATGATAATGTGACTTTCTTTCTTTGTATTGCATTCTTTAGCTAACACTATTTAAGTTTTATTCTTCCAGGATTTAATCAGACAAAGTTCTGCATGCTTAAAGTGATTCAGATTCAGCTACCGTGACGGTATTATTTTGATTCATTGCATGACATTAATATAATGCACTTCAATGTACTGGTTTATCTTACCGTGCTCCTTTACAGATTGCTTGGGAAGCATTGTTTAGTGAGATAAGTTCAGTTCCTAAAGGAGTTCTTCCTTCGTATATAAAGTTGGTTCGTGAAGGAGTGTGAACATTTTCTCCGGTGAAGCAACTGCAGAATTTCCTTCTGCATTGGAAACAGCAAGAGGGGGAGTGAGTTTTATTTTGTTACTCCAATTTAATATCTTGATGTCCTGGTTTTTGTTGTTGTTGCATATATTAATTTCTCTGCGAAATGTGGTTTCTGCAGATCTTAGAAGATGCTACCCCTGTAATGACAATTGCTCTAATACTTGTTAGGCCGGGCAAGGGTATCCCTGATAATCAAGAACTTGCTGAGGAGCCTATTACTCAGCATTCTAGGAACAGAAGGATTAAAGAAAGGTGGCACTCTCATTGTTTGTCCTATGGCATTACTTGGTCAATGGAAGGTGTGGCACTTCATTGTTCGTCCTATGGCATTACTTGGTCAATGGAAGTTGAGTTTATTAGTCTGTAGCCCCTTTCTTGCTTAATGTCAATATGAAAATGTGTCTGATATTGATTATAATTCTCATAACAGGATGAACTTGAAGCCCATTCAAAGCCAGATAGCATTTCTGTTTTTGTTCATTATGGTGGGGAAAGAAGTAATGACCCTAGAGTGATAGTAGAAACAGATGTGGTCTTGACAACCTATGGTCTTCTAACTGCTGCATATAAGGCTGTAAGTAATCCAGCCTTTTTCAGATCAGTATCAATGTTTTTCCCACGAGCTTGAAAGTGTATTTATTCTGTTCATTTGGTTCTATGTGCATTAACCAGTTTTTAACTGTGATTTAGGATGCGGAGAGTTGCATATTCCATGAAGTTGATTGGCATCGAATTGTACTGGATGAAGCACTCACCATAAAATCCTGGAGAACTGTGAGTGCTAGGGCTGCATTCACATTGTCTGCACATTGCAGGTGGTGTCTCACTGGTATTCCACTTCAGGTATGTTTCCTCATCTAAGTTCCCATTTATCATATTTCCTAAAAAAAATGAGGCTTTCATAAGACCGTCTCATTTGATAGAAATCTGATTTATGTTAATGATGTCCTCACTAATTGCTGCAGAATAATTTGCAAGATCTTTACAGCCTTCTGTGTTTCTTGCATGTTGAGCCATGGTGCCATTGGGCATGGTATGTTTTCTATATTACTAACTGTATATATACATGCTAATAAGTTTAACTGAATTACTTAAATGTTTGCTATCTTTTAGGTGGAATAAGTTAATACAGAGACCTTATGAGAATGGTGATCTGGTGATCAGAGAGCATTGAAACTGATCAATGCAATTCTTAGGCCTAAACCCTAAACGCATGGTTTGTTTTCTATATTACTAACTGTATATATACATGCAAATAAGTTTAACTGAATTACTTAAATGTTTGCTATCTTTTAGGTGGAATAAGTTAATATAGAGACCTTATGAGAATGGTGATCTGGTGATCAGAGAGCATTGAAACTGATCAAGGCAATTCTTAGGCCTAAACCCTAAACCCTAAACGCATGGTATGTTTTCTATATTACTAACTGTATAGATACATGCTAATAAGTTTAACTGGATTACTTAAATGTTTGCTATCTTTTAGGTGGAATAAGTTAATACAGAGACCTTATGAGAATGGTGATCAGAGAGCATGGTATGTTTTCTATATTACTAACTGTATAGATACATGCTAATAAGTTTAACTGAATTACTTAAATGTTTGCTATCTTTTAGGTGGAATAAGTTAATACAGAGACCTTATGAGAATGGTGATCAGAGAGCATTGAAACTGATCAAGGCAATTCTTAGGCCATTAATGCTTAGGAGAACAAAGGAAACAAAGGACAAGGAAGGGAGGTAGTGTTCTTCACAACTTTGCAAACATTCTTGAGTTGCTACTCAGACTGAGACAGTGTTGCAACCATCCTTTTCTTGTGAGGAGCCGAAATGCCATTAGAGCTTTACTGTGCATGTGTCTATATGAAATATACTCTGATCTCTAAAACAGTTTATTTCCCCTAAATCTGCAGCCGAGCCCGATGTAGACTAATATGCAAACAAGCTTGCCCAGAAGATTCTTGAAACAAACCCTGATTTGGATAAGGTCTCACAAAAGTATGTTAGGAACAAACCCTGATTTGGGCTATACTGATATGGTAGGAACCTAATTTTTATGCCATAATACCATTTACTTGGTTTCCCCTCGTTCACATAAAATATAGGAGGTTCAAAGTCTCGCCAAGAAAGCAGCAGAAACTGTTGTCACTGTAATTGATGAGAAAGATATCGAGATTTTGCTGTCGGAGGTTCTTAATGGAGTTGGAGATATTCAGGCATGATTTATTGCTTTACATAATGATAATGTTGACATTCTTTCTTTGTATTGTATTCTTTAGCTAACACTATTTGGATTCATTGCATTATTACAATGCACTTCAATTTAGTGGTTTATCTTACAGATTGCTTGGGAAGCATTGTCTAGTGTTATAAGTTCAGTTCCTAAAGGAGTTCTTCCTTCGTAAATAAAGTTGGTTCATGATGTATACAAACATGCTGGGAGGACCAGTTCTAATACCTGGTTTTTGCCTCCGGAAAGCTCTTCCAACCTATGCTTCCTATTTCCCTCCAGGTATTCCTGCTTTGTTCTTCAACTGATTGCACCTTCTTCTTTCTTTCTCTTATTCACTATTTGTTGAATTCTTCAAATCTACAAAGCCTTTAATGTAATGGAACTTGATTTCAGGGTGTTTGCATTGGTTTAAGTGAAGTGATGGCAAGTGCTGGGAATAGCCAGTTGCTGAGTTTAATGCACAAGCTTATCTCTATCATTCCGACAGCACTTTGTGATAGGTTTGAGATTGTTTACTTGTATTGAAGGAAGCAATTTTGTTTCTGCTTTCCTGTATTAAAAATTTCTTACTGATTTTCTGATGTTATAGCATGACCTGAGGTTCGTGAATCGGCAGGGTTGGCATTCAGCACTCTCTACAAGGTACCACTATTTAGTTCTTGGTGTGTGAATATTAGTTTGATGATGAATTGATGATTGTTCCTTGTGTAGACTGCTGGAATGCAAGAAATTTATGAGATTGTTCCGACACTTCTGCATGCTCTTGATGACGATCAAATCTCTGGTACTGCTCTGGATGGTTTGAAACAGATTTTAAGGTTGAAAATTGTTTGCAAATGTGTTTTTTCTTACATTTCTGTCTGGGCACCTTTTCTGATTTTTAAAATGTATTGGATGCTTCTTTCAGTGTCAGGACCAGTGCTGTGCTGCCTCATATCCTTCCCAAGCTTGTGTCCATATTCCTCTTTCGTCAGTATTGTGTCTGTTTCTTATAGCGTTTTCTTTATTATTTCCAAAGATCTTTGGTTTTATATCCAGTGCCTCAATGCACATGCTTTGGGAGCTTTAGCAGAGGTTGCTGGACCTGCTTTACTCACTGCAATGGGCTATACTGATATGGTAGGAACCTAATTTTTATGCCCATAATGCCATTTACTTGGTTTCCTCGTTCACATCATTTAAATTTGATTCATTGTATAATTTCATTTGTAAATTTGAGCCGTTGCATAATTTGCATTTGTAATGCTTTTACCTTGAAAATGTAGGAGATTGGAAGTCTCGCCAAGAAAGCAGCAGAAACTGTTGTCACTGTAAATGATGAGGAAGGTATCGAGTTTTTGCTGTCAGAGGATCTTAAAGGAGTTGGAGATATTCAGGCATGATTTATTGTTTTACATAATGATAATGTGACTTTCTTTCTTTGTATTGCATTCTTTAGCTAACACTATTTAAGTTTTTTTCTTCCAGGATTTAATCAGACAAAGTTCTGCATACTTTGAGTGATTCAGATTCAGCTATCGTGACGGTATTATTTTGATTCATTGAATGACATTAATATTTAATACAATGCACTTCAATGTACTTGTTTATCTTACTGTGCTCCTTTACAGATTGCTTGGGAAGCATTGTCTAGTGTGATAAGTTCAGTTCCTAAAGGAGTTCTTCCTTTGTATATAAAGTTGGTTCGTGATGTATTCAAACATGCAGGGAGGACCAGTTCTAATACCTGGTTTTTGCCTCCAGAAAGCTCTTCAACCTGTGCTTCCTTTTTTCCTCCAGGTATTCCTGCTTACTTTTGTTTGTGAACTTAAAGTTTACATTGAAAGAATATCTTCATTTGTTTTGACTTGTCCAATTAAGGTCCTTCAACCCGTTTCTTCTCAGGTGACTGAAGTCTGATGTTGAGAAAGGTCTTCCTCCCAAGAAGGAAACTATGCTCAAGGTTGGTATGTCCCAGATGCAGAAGCAATATTATAAAGCTTTGTTGCAAAAAGATCTAGAAGTTGTTAATTCTGGTGGAGAGCGAAAGCATCTTCTAAATTTAGCCATGCAACTGCCGAAATGCTGCAATCATCCATATCTGTTTCAAGGTGCTGAACCAGGACCTCCTTATACTACGGGGAGAGCATCTGATAGAGAATGCTGGTAATGTTTCAATGCAGAAGCGATATTATAAAGCTTTGTTGCAAAAGGATCTAGAAGTTGTTAATTCTGGTGGAGAGCGAAAGCATCTTCTAAATATAGCCATGCAACTGCCGAAATGCTGCAATCATCTATAAATGATATTATTGTTCCCTTTTATAATTTTGTGCCGTGGTATTGACCGAGCAATTTCCTCTTATCTTGTAATGCAGATGACCAGAATTTTAGACATTTTTGAAGACTAAATGTACCGTGGTCATCAATAGTCAATATTGACGGATTGACGGAAATACTGGTGGGGAGGATCGTGATGTATTGAAGCCTTTAACAAGCCAGGATGTGAGAAATTTGCAACCATGGTGGTGGCTTCGTCTCTTCTCACTATGGATCTAGTATTCACTGATTTAGATTTGAGAGTGTGCCTTTTCTTTCTTATGTTTAATTTTGATCTTTTTTTTTCCCTCACTCCCTCACTCTGTGTGCTTGTATATAATATGTTATGGAGTTCCATATTTGTCTAGTTTTGTTCTATATCTCTTTATTTGTTGTTCTGGAATCTGTGTAATATGTTTCTTATCAATTATTGATTCACAGGAACACATATGAAAATTATTGCTATAAGGAGGCAAAAACTTGAAGAGGGGAAAGCTAGACAGGTGAGTCATTTATTGACTAAATTTTATTTTACCTTAATTAAGTGTATCATTTTTCACATATTTTTATTATGATCTCCTCAATTTGTTCTCAGTTTTGCTTATATCCTTAGCATCAGACCCCAATCTTTGCTCCATAAAACAAGACCTAGGAAATTTACCGGCAACTTGTTCACTTCAACTGCTGAAACACGTACAGAAGACAGAAAGGTTAATATGCATTTTTATGTCTTGCATTTTATTTATGGACATTAATTTCTGAATCTAATATGTGGTGAAAATTTCTATTTCAGATTTATGTTCGAGAACCAGCAGCCCCATTTATTTCAATGGCAGAAATGATGAAGAAGTTCAAATCTAGTACAAGGGAGATGTCAATGCGACGCTTGAATTGTTCCATGTCACTTATAAATACAAATAACTTGCTTAAAAGTTCCATTATTTTTCTAGTACATTTTCTTTAAAAATTTAAACTATTTTTCAGGGTGGTATGGCTGGAATCAGTTCAGAGGAAGGAATCCTAAGCTTACACTGACAAGGCCCAAGGAACCTGAACTTGAAATAGCTCAACGTTACCGTCCAGTAAAACTTAAGAGCTCAGCTGAGTTGGAAGAAGAAATGATGGCAAAATTTCCCAAGTTTAAGGCTCGCCCTCTAAATAAGAAGGTACCTCCATTTTGAGTGACCGCATTATTTTCCTGAGTGTATACATCTTGCCGTAGTAAGAGACTGCTTTAGTTTTCATGTGCTTTTTGTTTATTCCATGTGTTAATTTCATTTTTATTAT